AAGAAACCTAGAACGAATGATATCCATAATCCTACACTTAGGCTCATGCACAAATGGATTGCTATGACTTTGTTTCCTAGAGGTGATCTGAGACCCATTAGGGGAGATGAATTAATTATCATGTTTGCCATGGTTAGAAACAACAAAATTTCTCCCGTAAAATGTATGATAAGGCAATGGTTAGAAAGTGTAAAGTTCTCTGCTCTTGTTGAGTGCACTTCTCTGATTACTCGGATAGCAAAAGGGCTAGGGGTCATTAGCAACCAAATTGCTTTTATCTCAGCCGCTCGTCCGCGTATTGATGAGGCTTACCTAGTGCAAGGGCATATTTTGAAACATGGAGCAGATGGATCTTTGATATACTTTTTCCCCGGTTGTACAAATGAAATCCCGTTGCCAAATGCGGGGTATCATTTGTACAACTGCCATGAACTAACCATTCCCCTGTAGACCATAGAAGAATCTCGTACAAGTGGAACATACAGGGAGACGTGCAACATGACAAGGAACGAACAAGAAAGTTCATCATCCTCGACACCCATGCAATTGTATGAGGTAGGTTGGGCACCAACTGGGGATGCACCCGGATGGACCCAAGCTCCACACCATAGCTTAGGAGTCTCAACCTGGTCAAGCGTCAGTGAGGACCGGTGGCATGCGCTTCATGACATCCAATGGGGTGACAATCAACCTCCCAGATCAAGTAGTGTGCCTCCCTCTCTAAGTGAATGGCGCTCAAGTTCCTCTCGTTGGGACTTGGGTGAAATCACTAGGAGAATGGACACCCTTGATGTGCAGACGGGGGAGATCTAGTACAACCTCACGGAACACATAGCTCAAACGCAAGAATGGCAACAATCTGCTGATGCTCAGTTCACCAACATCAACAACATAATGTAGCAACAACATGATGACCTTCAGGCGTACTTTCGCTTTCAAGGGTTCAATCCTCATCAAAGACCCTGAGCGAAAGCCAAGCTTGGGGGAGACCTCGCTCCGCCCCATTGAGGTAACTTGTATCACATTGCATATTTCCCTTTCCAATTGCATATTTGCTTTTCAATTGCATCTTATAAAACTTGAAAACAACATAAAAATTTGTAAAATAGAAAATACCAAAAAGATAGGATAGGTTTGAGTCATGCTAGGTAAGACAAGCTAGTTCTCTTTGTTGAAATGACGAATAGTTGCTTTGTTTTATATCTCTGATATTTGGGTTCTTGGTAAGTACTTCTCAAAGATTGAATAAAAGTAGCCAACAATTATACGGGAACCTGAGGTGAATGGTTGGTTGGTGTTCTTGAGGTCTTACCTGCTCCGACAGGTTATGGACCTCGGCGGCGCGCCAGTCCGGCGCTTCACCGCCGGTCGCTTCGACGGCAGGGTTTCATTGGCGAACTCGCTAAGGCTGTCAACAAGCTCGTCCCTCCCCTGCTTGAACAGCGTGTAGCTCCCGCTCCCGCTCCCCGACCCGCACGACAACGCGCCGGTGGTGCGCGCGGCGCCCAACCCCTCCTCCTCCTCGCGCGGGGCAGCGGCGTCGATGTCCTCGTCGTCGTCGTCCGCGGGCAGCGCCGACACCACGACCGCATTGCTGCCGCAGATGCTCAGCCCACGTCGGCCGAGCGGGACAAGGAGGCGGAGAAAGCAGAGAAGCCGCCGCGCTTGCACGCCGCCTCCGCCGGCAGCCGTCGCGGCGCCGCCCTCCCGCCTCGCCTCGGCCAGCTTGCAGTTGCAGAGAAGCGAGATAGAGAGAGAGATGAGGAAGGGAGAGAAGAGAGGAAAGAGAAGGGGGTGACGTGGACACCTGACATGTGGGGTACAGTGGGTCACACACTGACTCAGCCGCCACATAGACTAAAACTGGGGTCAAAACCACCGAAGGACCTCAGGTGACCGGTTTTGTACAGTTAAGGGACCCCGCATATCTAGTTTTGTGGTTCGGGGACGCTTTTGTATCCCGACGACAAGTTGAGGGACCTTCGGTGTACTTTTTCCTCCCAGAGTCCAATTTTCTCCCTCCTTCAATCGGGCCTAGTAAATGAAACCACAGAAAAAGTCTAATTTACTTCCCCGTCGCTACAGTGTCATCTTCTACCTGCAGAGCTCCTGTTCGTCCTGATCCGGCTCTGACTTCTCCTCCAAATCTGGCCTCCCCTTTCTATATTTTCCAGAATTAGTTGAGGGGATTTGTTTCCCTTATCCTTCTTTTCCGTTTCTCCTAAGAAATCTGATTTTATCCCTTTGATTCGAGTTCAAATCGGCTGGATAAACCTTATCCCAAAACGGTGAACCCTAGTATTTCCCAGCACAATTCCTTGCGTTCCAAGCCCGATCTGTTCCCATGCTCTCCTCTTTGGTTTGCCACCCTCGCCCGAAGCGCCGCTGCCACTGCCATCCGAAGCCGCCTCGGTCGCCTGCGCTCTGCTCGTCGCCTCCCTCGGCACCGCAGCAGCGAGGAGAACCCCGTCCACCCCTCCGTTGCCGCCACTCATCGCCGGAAAGTCGTAGCCGCCGTGGACCCGAACCTCGCTGCCCTTCCGAGCACGTCGCCGGCCGTCTCCTTGCCGTTCGTCGCCACATAAGTGTTGGTAAGGATCGTCGCGTCCTCCTCTTCCTCTCCATACTCTCGGTTTCCGCCGTTCGCTGTCCTCACCGCCGACCAGAGCCGCCAGCTTCGATTCCGCGTGGCTGCCATGTCACTCGCCGCGTCAACCCCTCCATCCTCCGTGGCGTCTACGTTTTCTATATGCGTGGCCTCCATCCAAACTTTAGATCAGATCAATCTGAGCCATCCGATATTGGTCAACTAGGTCAAAGTTAATCTCACCCGTCCAAAATCAATATAAATCCTTCCCTCTCTTTTTAATGGCATATTGACCCTTTTAATCGTATGTCATCTACTAAATTCGATCCAATAATTTCCGGAGGATGTTTTAAATCTTATCTCTCAGTTATAAATTATTTGTAAATTGTTTAATTAATTTGCAATAGTATTTTCTTTAATAGGCTTTAATTGGAATTAATCTTGTAAAATTCGTAACTAAATCATATCAAGTCAGAATGAGGCCGTTCGAGTCTCTAAATTTATCTAAAATTATGATCAACATGTTTGCTTACTTTTTATGTACTGTTTATTTGGAGTTTCTTAGTCATTTTCCTCGTTTTGCATGTTAGTTTGTCTTTTTTCGTCGTTTCGGAGGTTCGCGAGTACGCCAGAAGTGGTTCAAAAGACTAATTGAAGACCAATTATTCCTAAACACAATCCTTTGAGCATGTTGATCCTATTTTAATTCTCTATTTATTTCAACTGTGTATTTATTTTTGACTGTCACCGGGTGGTGTGAACCTATTCCTTTCTTATGGCCAATTTGCATTAGTTACTCTATTCCTTGATACCTTGGGTTATTATAATTTGACTAGTTGAGCTTTATATATTGGTTCAACTAGATGTTATATATAGTTGCTTAGCCATGCTTAGAAACATTAGCTCATTAATGGGATAAATCATGTTTCACTATCACTTATGGTTATATTTAATGGTAACACACAATGGTCAATCGTGTTATGATAATCAATTGATAATAAAAACCTGGTTAATGATGAGTTGTGAGCACATGGTTTTGATGGCTGTGCTCATGATAATTAAGGACCGGTTCATGAGCTACTGTTGTGAAACATTAACCGTGCCAACCACAAGCTAGCACGGGCAACGGCTTTACCTTTTGTATAGCGTGGTTCATTGTGGGGCACCAGACTGTGAAGCAGCGAGAAGTCCATGGGGGTCACTGGGAGTCCAGGTTATTGAGGGGATGATTATGATCTAGGAATGGTGCACTGTGGTGAGTTGTGTTGTGTGAAGGGCATTGTCACGATTTCCCCATTTGCAGTGCTGTGGTGGTACTTCGGGGCATGGCAACATGTGTGGAATCATGTCTTGTGGGTCTAGTGGTACATTACTGGCCAGAGTAAAACTATTCGAATAGCCGTGCTAACGGTTATGGACGGGTCTAACAATGTTTTTCGTGATTAGTCTCACATTTCTCACAATAATTATTGATGCTATAACTGGTAATAAATTTGGTTAGCTCGTGGTTTAGAATGGTACATTCCTGGTTAGGAGATAGATCTGTACAATTGGGTATGGTTTTATCAGGATGGTTGGGCCTGTGCAACATGGGTGTGCTGTTCAGTGTTGATTAATATTGATGATTAATTACTTTACTGTTTTACTACTTTAAAATGTTTGCTAAATGCTGCTTTTACAAATAAGCCTATATTATACCATCCTTTGGTATCATTGTGCACTTACAATTTGCTGTGTGGCTTGCGGAATATTACATGTACTCACCTTGCAATAATAAATCAAACATCAATTGAAGAAAAATAATCTAGAAGGAGAAGACGTTTGGCTTATACCCCAGTTGAGCTGCCTGTGGGAGTGGAGCCGGAGTTTCGCTAGACCGTTAAACCACTCATGTTTTTCTTTTCTTTTGTAAGTATGTAACGTTATTATTATGATGTATTTGTATATTAAATTGTCAGTTTGTGTACCTCGGTTGATTTCTGGACGAGTATTTTATGCACAAATAAGTTCGGAAATTACTTGTAAATTTCTAGGCGTGACAATAGGTCACATTGAGCACCGAGACATACACAAACACCTCGACGTTGCATCCCTCTTAATAGTACGGCATTCCTAAACTCAAATGTAAATAAGAAGAGAAATATACCAATAGGAATGTCTTCTTTTCATCTTTCTTTCATTGTCTTATGGGACGCTAATGCCGAAACCATTTCACCATATATCTCTTCGTTCTATAAAGCTAATGCCCACTAAATATCTAAACCTCAACATGCAAGCATAGTATTTATTAGCACTCCCAAAATCTACATGCAAGCATGCCACATCAACCCATTAAGCACATAAAATTTAACATGCAAGCATATAGTAATTATGTCTACAATTTATTTCATTCTAAAACTAAGCATACACATGCTAAATCATCATTCTCAAATCAATTTCGTAATATTTCAATCCAAATCATTTTGTCATTTCTCCAATATCTATCATATTTCCCGCAACAAAGCATGCGGTTACTTGTAGCTTCAAATGGTCTCACACAGTCCATCATGACAAAGCCGTCACTCGCCCTTCACCACCGGATTTTGTTCTTCGCGCCAAGCCCCTTGCTTGCCCTTCACCACCGCATGGTCCATCGTGACCGAGCATCGCTTGCCCTTCACCGTCTTGCCATAGTAGCCACTTCGTATCCCACATCTTCAATATCTTCACTTTGTCATCCTTGGTATCTTTAGGTGTAGTGATATCACTTGAGCATCAATACCTTTGCAATCCTTGGGGCCTATTTCTCTCATTCAACTCAATGAAATTATTAATCTCAATGATCCGGTTGTCAACCTCCACATGTTGACTAACCAATCGCATGTATAAAAGGATATGAATAAATGATGGGTATTAATCAACACCATAAGTGTCATATACTCAAATATATGCTCACATGTAAAAATCCCAATTAAATAAAAGTGAATAACTTGGATCAAGTACATGCATAACCAAGATATAGGATTTGCTCGCAAGACTATGCATAACAAAGATATGAAACATTGAGAGCTTATCCTATACAAGAATAGAAGGCATTTCTCAAATATGGATATTAAAATAAAAACACACCTTCATCATCTTCATGTTCTCAATGTAAATAGACTAAATAAGAGATAAGAATCACACAAGACATTAGTCTCACACATGCATATGTTAATCACGTGGAAATATTATATATGAACATATCAATATGTACATGGAGAGAAATAGTGATACATATAGCTTGATCTCCATGCATTTCATCCTTGTGATTTAGGTCCACCATCAATGAACGGTTCTATCTCAACTCATATGAAGTCCGGGAATCACCTCTCACACACTCCACTTTCATATCCACATGAGACTAGGCAAAGAAATGCTTATAAAAACATTAGTAGAAACATAATTGGATTTTTCATTAATCATCAAAACCAAATTAATGGCACTTGAACTTTCATACTTAATTAATCATTAGCTAATAGATATCCCTTTTGTGTGCGTGACTAATTCTACCTCACAAAGACAGCTTAAAAGACACAACAACATATTTTAATTCTCTTATGTAGGAGCTGATTGTTAAAGTTTGTATTTAACGACTGTTAATAGACGACTCTTGCTTAGTTAAAACTTAATGAAAGGCATCCGCCAATCGTTATCCAGCATGGAAACTTGTCTTGATGCATTATCTTCCAAAACTTTTGTCTTCGAAACAATCGGCTCTTGAAGGTGCTCAATGAAGACGTCAGTCGGAGCATGTTACCGCAAAGACCTGAAGCTGGCAAACATGCCTGCATCTTCATTATTATGCCCTAACATACGAGAAAGCTCCAAGCCATCAAAACCACCTCCAATTTGCATACTTCCTAGAGATAGGCAGTCAAATTGTCAATCAGGCAAGACCAATCCTTCATGACTTGATTAACAACCAACTACGAATCACCACGGACAATCAACCGAGATGTAAGCCATGAAGAAGGGCTTCATACTTGGCCACGTCATGTGATGTTGGACAATGAATTTGAAGAACATATCTCAATCGCTCCCTAGTCGGTGAAATTACAACAACCCCAGCTCCAACTCCTAGAACCCATAGATATCCATCAAATACATGGTCCAATATTCTAGCTTTGTTGCAGGCGCTTCCAATTTGGCCTCCATCTACTCGGCAACAAAATTCACTAACATATAGGACTTAATTGATGTGCGGGCCTTGAAAGATGTATCAAAAGGCATAAGCTCCATAACCCACTTTGCGATCTGCCCTATAGCTTCGCGGTTATGGAGAACGTTGCCAGGCGGAAAAGATGTAACCACAGTAACCGGATAACTTTGAAAATAATGGGGTAACTTCCTAACTATAATCAACACTCCATACAACATCTTCTAAACTTGAGGGTAGAGTGTCTTCGAGTTGGCCAGGATCTCACTAATGAAATAGATCGGCCTTTGAACCTTCTAGACATGTCCTTCCTCCTCACGCTAAACAATCAAGAACGTGCTGACCATATGAGAAGTTGCCGACACATATAATAACAAAGGCTCCTACGGCATTGGCGATGCTAGCACGAGAGGCGTCGTCAAAATACTCTTAAAGTCTTCATAGGCTTGCTGGGCTTTGAGTGTCCATTGAAAATCTTAAGTCTTCTTCAAGAGCTTGAAAAAGGGCATGCCTTGCTCTACAAGCCATGAAACAAAACGGCTAAGTGCCACCATGCACCCAATCAACTTCTGAACATCCTTCTATGTACTAGGCGGTTGCATGTTGCATATTGGATTAATATTCTACGGGTTGGCTTCGATGCCGCGATGCGACACCGTAAAACTAAGCAGCTTCCCTGACAGTACTCTGAAGGTACACATATCCGAGTTCAACTTCATCCTAAAGACCCGAATATTTTTGAAGATTTCTTCCAAATCAGCAATCAAATCATCCTTACGCATGGTCTTGATGATGGCATCGTCGATGTAGGCCTCCACATTGCGCTCGAGCTATGACTGCAAACATCTTTGGATCATGCATTGGTACGTGGCCCCAGCATTCTTGAAGCCAAAAGGCATAGTGATGTAGCAATATGCGTCGAACGGTGTGATGAAAGAGGTCTTCAAGCAATCAGACTCCTTCAAGTTGATCTGATGATATCTCGAATAACAGTCGAGGTCATACCTTGACCACTCATAGATGTGGTGGCAGATTCGCTACCACGCTGGTTGAGGACCAGGTGTGCTCGATCACTTGTAGAGGTGGTGGAATGTTCGCTACTACATTGGTCAAGCGAGGACCAGGTATGTAGTCATACCTCGACCACTCGTAGAGGTGATGGGAGGATTGCTACGATATTTGTCACGCAAGGACCAGGGGTAGTTGTACCTCCACCACTCGTAGAGGTGGTGGGACTACTACAACCGTTGGTCTCGTGAAGATCAAGTATAGTCAGCCATGGTGATTGTCACGCCTAGAAATTTAGCCCAAATTTCCAGACTATTTTGTGTATTAAATCCCTGTCCAGGAATCAGGCAGGGTACACAAAACGACAAAGAATAAACGGTACCAAACATAAATAAAGCGTAAATACTTACAAAAGAGGCACTTAGTCCTCATATCGAAACGAAAGTAGCAGCAGCGGAAAAAGGCGATCCTAGCGAGGCTTTAGCTCCACTCCACAGGCAAAACTCAACTGGGGTTTGAGCCTTGGTCCTCTAACTCCGTCTTCAGCTCAGAAGCACTACACTTCTAAAAAGTGGGAATAATAGCAAGGCTAAGTACAACCACATTACTCAACAAGAAACACCAATGATGCAGATGTGCAAGGGGATACAAGGATGGCTTGTGGCTATTTGCATAAATGGCAGTTGTAAAGCATTTTATTAAGCAAAACAGTAAAACTGTTGATTAATTAAGATAACATTAAATCTCCACTGATTAATGCTACACCACGTTGAACAGGCCCAACCATCCCACCTGAACTATCAGTGCATTGAGTCGATTTATTAAGGGTAAGACTAATCACGGTGAATCTGATCGATCGCCCATAACCGCGGGCACGGCTATTCGAATAGTTTTACTCTGGCCAGAGGTGCACAACTATACCCACAAGACACAATCCACCAGCATGTCACCGTGCTATGCATGACATGTCACCATGTTGAGTGATTGTGACAAGAACTTTCATACACACCTCAGATTTCACCCCCACTCCTTAACTGGCAGCGGGCAGTCCCCTCTCGTGCCTAGGTAAATTTGGAAGTGACAAAGATCGTCGCAGGGTCCATCCCGCTCCATCACGCCCACCCTTGCCTGGATGCGTCAACCAGAGAAAAGCTATACTTCAAGTCAGGCAGTTACCCATTCCCGCTTGTGGCAAGCGTTGTATTTCTAGTGCATCCTGCGAACCGGTCCTTAATTGCCGTGGATGCGACCAGCAAAACCATGCACCCACAGCCCACCATTAAGTTGCATTTTAGTTGGATAATTACGACCAATGAAACATGGTCGGATGTCTCAAGCACGCAGCTCGTCATGATACTAAAAGGTCTAATACTGTAATTATCCCATCAACGAGCTAGTGGTAATTAAGCATGGCTAAGCATAAAGTTCTAGCTAGGTCATCATAGTAACACAAGCTAGGTGATTTATCGCCCAAAGTTGACAAAGGACAGATATCAAATAATATGGCACAAGCAAGCAGATAGGTAAACCCTGATCCCATGTAATTTGCAAAACATGCATATTTATTTGCAAACGGGAAAACATTTGTAAAGTAGGATCAAAATGCTCAAGGAGAATGTGTGACTTGCCTTGCTTCTTCAAACAATCTTCTGCACTCTTTTCCTCGCGACCGCGGACTTCCGAAACGACAGATTCTACACACTGGCACACAAAAGAGGAAAAACCCTAATAAAAACATAGAAAACAGTACATAAAAAGTAAACAAACATGTAGAGCTCAATTTTAGATGAATTTTGCAAGTTGAATGGCCCAATTTGGAGTTCGTATGAATTAGATATGAATTTTAGAGGTTTTGAGCCATTTTAATGGATTTATTGAATTATACTCAATTTATGACGCAATTAATAATGAATTATGATGTCAGCCGAGGGGGGAAGAGGTGGCGCCGACAAGCGGACCCCACCTCTCGGTGACTCAAGGGGCTCGGGCGCACGGTGGACCAGGTCCACGTGCGGCTCGGGAGAGTGCACCACATGGCGCACACGTAGCGCCGACGCAGCACCGATGTGGCGACCACGCTGGCGGACACAAGGACGGCCCTAATCAGCCAAGGGCCGATCGGACGGCCGAAGCAGCCGGACGGCACGGCCGCACAGGCGCTCCCGCAAGGCAGCTGGCCGACGAGCGGCGGCGGCTGCCGGGCCTGAGACCACCGGCGACGACACCGGCGGCGAGTGGCAACGGCGCGAGGGGCGGCGAGAGGAAACCAAGGGGACGGAGAGGAAGGAGGGGAGCTCACCGAGCGGCCAAACGGCGGAAGGAGGCGGCGGCGGGCTCCTCGGGGTGACTTGCAACAGCGGTCCAGCGGTGTTCCGCGAGCGGGAATAGGTGGACGACAGCCAGAAGAACCTGGGGAATTTGGTGGTTGGGTTAGGAGAAAGGGAAAATGCGCGACGAGACGGGGAAAAGTGGCCGGAGGCCGGCAGATTGAGGCGAAGCTCACCACAACGGGGAGAAGAAGGTTGCGGTGGCGATTGGAGCCGGTGGAGCGTTGGCTGAGCATGTCCTCATGGTGGTGGAGCTAATGGTGGTCGTGGCATGACTTGGGGTGGTCAGGAGCGGCAACGAGCGCCAGCCGGAGGTGGCAAATGGCAGTGGCCGCTCAGGTTCGCGGTGGGAGCAGTGCTTCGAGGGTAGAGGAGGGAGATGGAGTAGATGCCGAGCTACGCACGATGGCTGCGGTGCCAGGGAAGGCGACGCCGCAGCGCGAGGTGGACTAGAGAGGCGACGCAGCGCGGCTGGAGGCTGCAATGGTGGCGGAGAGAGACAGTGAACGTGGCGGCGGTGTTTCGGCAATGGATTAGGGAAGAGAAGTGGTGGACGGGGTGTGGTGGGGCGTGGCGGCAGTATGGGTGGCGGCGGCATGGCCAGGCGAGGTGATGCTCGCCGGCGGGAGGTGGCTGGAGGCGGCGGTGGCTCGGGTTGGTGGTGGCGGCGAGGTTTCGGCGGCGGTTTGGGGAGGAAAGTGGTGGCCGGGCTTGCTCTCGCGGTGGCAAAGCCGGTGGTGGTGGCGGCGCGATGCGGCGGCGGCTATGGCGGCGGTAGCGCGCGGCTGAAGCTCGCCAGGAAGCGGCGGAGGTGGGAGACGGCGTGGGGAGAGCGAGTAAGGCGACAGGAAGCTCGAGGGAGGAGGGGAAACGGGCCGGGCGATGCTTTATATGGGCGTAGGGGAGGGAAATCGTGGCCGAGAGGGGCGGAATCGGGCGGCAACGGCCGACGCCGACGTGGGGTGGTGGTGGCTCGATTCCAGCGCAATTTTTGGGGAAAAGTGGGGGATTTGGTGGAGGAGATGGAGGGGGTCATGCCCACGCTGTCGGTTGCGAGCGCGGGGGCCGAAAATGGGCGGAAGAGGCGGCGACGTGGGGTGGCAATGGCGGCAGTTGCCGGCTCTGGATGGCTGGGGGTTAGGGATGACAGGTGGGACCCACGGGTCCCACATGTCGGCCGGAAAGAGAAGAGTTGGGGAGGGGGTTAAGTGGACTTGCAATGGAGAGGCGAACAGGGCGGTGGCCCAAGAAAGGAGAGGGGAGAAGGAGGGCGGCCCGAGAGGGGAAGGAGACTTGGGCCGGGGACGGCCCAAAGCAAAGAAGGAGGATTTAAATTGGTTTTATTTTTATTTTAATTGATGAAATGAACTTTGTATTGTTAAAATTATTTCCTGAGCTCCGATAATTCACGGAAAAATCTAGAGAGTATTTTAGGGCACAAAGAATATTAAAAAATATTCTCAGCCAATGATTTTTAAAGGAAAATTTTAATTTCCCCTATAATTTCACTTGATTAAATTGCTTTAACTTTTATTTAATTTGTAGAAAAATGCATTATTTAATGATTTTTATTCCCGATCGAAAATCAGGGCGTTATAGTGATGCCCCGATTTTCGTTCTAGATTAAAAATCATTAAATAATGCATTTCTAGAAACTATATTAAAAGTTAGAGAAATTTAATCAAGTGAATTAATGAGGGAAATAAAAATTTCCTTTAAAAATCATGGCCAAAAATATTTTTTAATATTCTCCATGCACTAATATACTCTCTAAAATTTCCCGTGAATTTTTGGAGCTCAAGAAGTAATTTTAAATATCACAAAGCTCATTTAATCAATTAATTAAATAGAAAAACAAATAAAATCTCTTTCCTGGTTCTTGGGCCATTTTGGGTCCAAGTTTCCTTTCTCTCCCCGTGGCCCGTGTGGCCCGCCCTTTTCCCTCTCTCGGGCCGATTGTCCACTCCTCCGTCCCCTCCTTGGGCCGTCAGCCCACTTTTGCCCCCTCCCTTACCAGTTCACATCCCTCCCAACTTCCCCTGTCTCTCTTCAATAGGAAGGACGCGTGGTCCCACCTCTCAACAACCGCCATGGCCGCCATCCTCTTCCACCTCCGTCCCCACTGCCTCCGAAAATCGGCGCCTCCCGAGTCGTTTCCCACCCCATGTTGCCGCCCCAGTCTATAGTCATGCTTCCCGAGCCTATATAAACCCTCCTTGAGCTCCCTATCTTGCCCCTCCCCCAAATTTCCTGAACGTCCCACGTCCTCTCCAACTCTCCCTAGGACGAGCCGGTGATCCGCTGCCCGTTGCCGATCTCCAGCTGTGCGCTGCCGCCACCCTAGCCACCTCCACTCCACTCTGCCACAATCGTCGACTTCGCCACGCCGAGCACAACCCCGTCTACCGCTCATTTTTCACTCGCCTCTCCCCGAAGCCTAGTCTTTGCCGCACACCCGGCCCACCACCTCCTTCTGCCACCTCTAGTCACCTTGCACTGCCGCTCGAGGCCATGTGGGGCCATGCCGTTGCCACCTCCGGTTTCACCAAGTCGCAACGCACCTTGGCCACTGTTACGCTCCCTTAAACCACTTCGCTGAGCCACCTTACCTCCTCCACCATTCCACTGCTTGCGGCTGCCTCGAGCCACCGCTAGGGTCGCCAACAAGCTGCAGAGCCGCCTCCTTCGCGTTCACGGGACCAAGGCATCCCTCGGCTGCCTCCTCCCGGCGTCAGAAGCCTGCCGAAGCCCCCTCTCCTCGCTTGTCAGCACCACTGGGGACCGGCCACCCCCTCGTTCGCCGGACCAGCGCCGCCATCGCCGTGGTCGCCGTTGTCTTCCACGCACCGGTCACCACCATCCTACTCAGGCCCTCTCCTCCTTTTTCCCTCTCCTTTTCGTGGGCACCGCTTCCTCTTCACACTGCGCGCCGCCTCCCGTGTGTGCCGCCGCAGCTCACCGACGGTGGCCTTTGGGTCGGGTGTCGCCTCGCACTACCAGCTCTTGACCGATGTGGGCTGTTGGGTGTGCGCCCTTGTGGTCCATCGCTTCCATGCACTTGGTCCATGGTAGGCGGGCCACCCATGTGCCACTAACGCATGGGGCACGCCTTTGGTGGACTCGATCCACACCCATTCCTCGCTGACGCAATAACCCTTGATTTTCTTTGAGAAAATAAATAACAGTTGTGCAATAAATCAAAATAATTTCCAGAAATTGATTTAAATGGCTCAAAACTTCTAAAATTCATAACTAATTCACACTAACTCCAAATTGAGCCATTCAACTGCAAAATTCATCTAAAATTGAGCTCTACATGTTTGTTTACTCTTTATGTACTGTTTATTTGGTTTTTATTAGATTTTTCCTCGGATTGTGTGCTAGTGCTTAGATTTCGTCATTTCGGAACTTTGTGATAGCAAGGAAAAGAGTCCGGAAGATTGTTTAAAGAAGCAAGCAAGTCACACATTCGCCTTGAGCATATTGAACCTAATCTATGAAAATATTTCACATTTTGTGAATAAATTGCACTTTTTTCTAATTAAATGGGAATAGGGTCAACCTATTTGCTCGCTTGTGCCATGTTCACTTGATATCCGTTCTTTGTTAGACTTGGGTGATAAATTGACTAGCTTGTATTACCTATGTTGACCTTGCTAGAATCATTATATGCTTAGCCATGCTTAATTACCACTAGCTCATATTATGGGATAATCAAATTATCTGCATGTAGTATCTTGATGAGCTGAGAACTCGAGACATTTGGCAATGTTTTATTAGTCGTAATTATCCAACTAAAATATGGCTTAAAGGTGGGCTGTTGGTGCATGGTTTTGTTGGACATGTTGATATTTTTAACGACATTACTAGAAATTATATTTCTAGTAATGGCATCGAAATATTCCCGGTATATTATGGTTACAGATATAATCCGCAAGCGCACGGATATACCATTGTAGCAATTCCACCGAAAGTATTCCAAGATATCATATTTATTTAGTAATTTAAATATGATAAGGGAAGATATGATAAGAGAGAGCTATGCTAATAATTTATATATTACTTGTATACATCAAAGTGTATGTAGGGGTTAATTCATTTTAAAGGGTATGTGACACGAAGAAAGAAGGATCAAGTTATTCACTAAATAAAATCTAGGCTAAGCGGAGAAAGAATAAGAGAAAAAATCATTCCTATACATCTAGTATACAGGTATCCTTAGTTTACACTTACTAGTATACAATCATGTAGCCAATACCCTCTAACTTTGCCCTCCTGGTGTTTAGAGACCACTCCTGATTGTCGAGTTCCTTACAACAATCAATCATAGCCATCCAACCAGAAATGAATATGAAGGAGTACCCATACTAGGAAAGTAGGAAAGTGTCTTTGGACTATATACTATCATGGAGGAATACCTTTATTGAGCTGTCAGCATCAGCGGCCTACATCTATTGTCCCGCAGCATATCTTAACTAATTAAAAGATTGGTATTTTTCCAATTGTCACCTAATTTCTCGTCCATCAATCCGTTTCATCCGTGCGATTCTTCCAATCGTCAATGTCTGATTTTGTCCGTTGGCGTGTAATTTTCCGATCATCACAATACAATTCTATCCGTCACGGTGCATCATCTCACCCTCACGCATGTAGCCCGTATCTAGGTAGTTTCCAATTCTAAATTTCCCAAGTTAAACACGAAACTGAAAGGAATTAGACTCTATTCCACCCAATGAAAAATTAGAAGAAGGATAGATGTGAAAATACCATATCCAAATTTCAAATTTTCATCTGAAAAAAAAGAAACTAAAAGAATCGGACTCTAATCCAACCAAAATTCTAATTCCAACTGGAACAAGAAACTAAAAGAATCAGACTCTAATCCAACCAAATAAAATCATCACAAGAGAAATCTACAAGAGAACTCCAATACACCATAATAAATCAGCAGAGGGTCGATCGCGCTGCAACACGAAACAATAAAAAATTGGATATGAGATTTCCAACTGCACCTTGACCTCCTTCTTCAAGCCTGGCGCTGGATCGATGGCAGCTGGGGATCACTTGATGTCGCGGTGACTCTGCTGGATGCGCCCTCCTCCTCCACCGCTGACCATATCAAGAGAAGATGGGGTGGTCGCCGGCCTCCACCCGTCGCCAGCTTTGCATTGCTAGCCTGGCTGCCCTCTGTCGTGGGCCTTTGCTGTGCTCGTGAGAAACTTGAGTAGAGAGGAAGGGGAGGCTAGAGGTAAAGGATGTGAGCGGGAGGAGAACGAGGAGGAGGAGGCAGAGTGTGCCGGCGGCTGCTCACATGCTTGATCTGGGGTTGCCAAGGTTGGTTTGGGGAAGATCCGGGTGAGTGTGAGCGGCGGCTGAGGATGAGGATAGAGTTGACCGGTCGCTTTCTTCACCCTGGATCCGCGCACGTGGCGGATACATCGACAGGATCGGAGGAGAAAACGGTTCCCCTTTTTCTTTTATTTTTCTTTTTTTAAGGATTCCTTCCCGGTTAGACATGAAGGTAAGGTCATATATGTGTATATGCAGATCTATATACCACTAAAAAAATACGTAAGGGTTTTGGGATCTACTCTTTTCGTGTGTCATCTAGCTTAAAAAATATGCAAGGGTCCCGGGAATTTGTTTTAGAACTTTATTAGGAATAATAAAAAAAATTATAAAAATAGAAGTTGAGTTAAAATCGCAAGTTAGTGCCTGTTGAACTACGGTTGTTCAACAGTGTTGTTGGTCTACTTAAAAAAATAAAAAGTATATGGAAGAGCATGGCACGGGCAGGGTGGCCTATCAAACTGGGGATGTTCAATAGGTCCCGCATGCTACAGTGGCACACAGTAGCATACATTGATTTTTTTTTCTCTTTTATTTTTTTATCCCTATCAAACATCCATAGTTTAACAAGTAACCTGTCGAATTGCGGTTGTTCAATATGTACCCTTGTCGAACTTTGGTTGTTCGATAGGGTGTTATACTTGCATTTTTTGTTCGTCAACCTCTATTTTTGTGATTCTCTATTAAAAAGTATTATTTCTATAAGAAAAAAATATTTTTTTCGTCCGGCATCTAGCTTTTGCTCCACACACATATCTTTGTCTGATTCCTTTATTTCCCGCGCCACGTCTAGAACTCCAGATCGCGGAAAGTCCCCAAGGTTCCCATGGAAAGTGAAATATGTTTGATATTGCATCCAATCCGTTTGTGGCTGACCCAAAAGCTTCAAAGTTTGAGGAAAGCAAACAAGTCCACACAGTTCCCGACCCAAAGCCTTCAAAATTTGAGGAACATGACAAAAAATCCGCAGCGAGAAGTTATGAAGCTGCAAACAGAATCAAGCCATATAGGCTTTTCGCCATAGCGGGAGATGACAACTTCAGAAAGAATACCAAAAATTCAACTAGCTCAACAAACACAAGAAAGCACAGTACACTGGCATCTTAGCAAACCACCATATACCTTCCATCACCGTATAGGTGAGGAGGGGGGAGTGCTGCGGCCCTCGTCGCCTATGGAGGCTGCTGCCATCGTCGTTCTTGTCTAGAGAGGATAGAGGAGCACCGCCGCCCTTGCCACCTATGGAGGGCTGAGAAGGGCCGAGGGAGCATTGATGTCCCACACTACGAGAGGACCTCCATCATGCTCAGGGGCCCAGTCGGCTCAGGGAGCACCGCCACTGTCCCTCGCAAGTGCGATGAGAGATGCTAGGTAGCGCCTCCGTCATCACCGAACATATTCTATCGATGGGGAGCATATTGTAAAATATCTCGGATTCATCGCCAACCTTCATTTTAATCCTTTCATTCTGTAAATATTATGAAAGTTCATTCATTCAATTGTTTTTTATGCCTAACCTTGAGTTTATTACTATTTTCACATAAACTTATTTGTAATATTAGCATTGGGAATCGAGATCTCACGAGCTTATTCTTCAACCTTACGAATGATGGAACAAAGGTGCCTTTATTCTTCAACCTCACTGGTGTGTTTCATTCGAAGCGATGAATGACGAGACAAAGGTACGTAAAGTTATATTTGTCTTCACCCGTTGCGAAGCATGGGCATTTTGCTAGTAACCCCAAATAATGATATTTAATAATCTAAGCACCACGCTTACATTATTAAATACTACTCTACATCTCCATAGATGACATAGAGCAATCACTCGCATGAACATTAAACCCACACCAATGCATATCTCTGGCAAGCTAGCTACACAATTATATCGAGACAAGTATAAAAGAAAGTCGTTACTCGGATAATATGAATGAAATAAAATACCGAAGCTGAATAAATGAGAATATTTCATTAATCCTATAAGTCTTACAAAAGAGAGAAGAGGTACTTGAGCCATACTCGAAATCTTCTGAAGACTCGAGGACTAAGAAAACTATTCTAATTCTAATCCACTAGCACTAGAACACTAATCTAAACTTGAGAGAGAGCTTGATCTTCTTCCTTGGAGTGTATGAGGGAGAGAGTGAGGTGAACTCCTTTTATAGTTGATATATGACGGTTATGACGGTTGGAAAGGTCGGAAACTCCCTCCAACCGTCATTGGGAGTGCATCCTGGATGTCCACGCCAAACCCCAGGATCAATGGCCGCGATGTTGGTTCGGCCGAACCTTGGCCTGGCCCAACCAGCCCAAAACTTGGCAGGCCTCCTCCCCATTGATTCCTCAGTCCTATGACGTGGTGCTTTGGGTCTTTTGATTTATTTTATTGTATTTGTAGGCCCATCTATCCACAAGTCTACCTCTCGACGGCTTACGATTGATTGTTAATTTGTTTGCCACCGATTCTCCTTTTTATGTAGCAATCTCTGCAATCAAATAGAATCCAAGTACAAGTGGAAATAGATTATTCTAAAAACAAATATGCATTAAAAGCATAACTAGTTCTCCGTTATTTTGATTATATTGATGGTCAAAATTGGTCTATAACGACCGTCAATAGTCCGCACCCATGGCAATTAAGGACTAAATCGCGGGAAACCATAGAAGACTAGCAGTGCTACCACAAGCAAAAATAGGCAATTGATGGACTTGTAGTATAGCTCTTCCCTTTCCAACATTCCCTGGCGAGGGTGGGCATGATGGAGTTGGGTCGGCTGGGGTTTACCCGTTGATCGGCTTCCAGATTCACCGTGGCATAAGAGGGGGTTGCCTACCCTGACTTTAAGGGTAAGGGCAAAACCTGCAGTGTGGTTCCACTTGGTTACTAAGGGTTATGCGAAGGGTCTTGTCATGATTTCCCCCTTTGCAGTACCATGGTGCTACTTTGGAGCATGGCAACATGTGTGGAATCATGTCTTGTGGGTACAGTTGCACACCTCTAGATAAAGTAAAACTATTCGAAAAGTTGTGCCCGCGGTTATGAGCGATCGACCGGATTCACCGTGATTAGTACCACTCTATTAATTAACTTGGCTTAATGAACTGGTTTAGCTCAAGTGGTTTGGTCGAGCCTATTCAACGTGTTATAGCGTTGTTCGGTAGATATTTAATCTTGCCTTAATTAATCAACAGTTTTACCGTTTTCAACTTTAAAAGTTTACAACCGCCTTTATGCAAACAATCGCAAACCACCCTTGTCTCCCCTTGCACGATTGCAATGTTAGTGTGGTTTGCTGAGTACGGTGGTTGTTTTCAGCCTTGTTATTTTTTTCCCTTTTTAGAAGTGCAATGCTTTTGAGTTAAAGACGAAGTTAATGGACCGAGGCTAATACCCAGTTGAGTTTTTGCTATAGTTGGTGGGGGCAATGAATATGTTCATTTTCATAGAAATTTTTCATCAAATCAAAACAAATCAAGAGAGGAATAAAAGTATCGGCTAGGGAGTGTATTGGCTGGAAACAGAGTCGGAGTTTGATTGAGCCGATATGGCAAGTAGCCAATACAACTCGACTTGGGCTTGGTTTGGGCCTCGATTGAGATAATCGTCATTGCCGCATAAAGATAAATCTCATTTAAGACAATTGTACCTATTAATTAGGATATTAATGTTGGTTTGAATTAGAGATATCGTAAGAGTCCGCCATGTGGACTTGTTTGCTATTTTATCTTTAGGAAAGTTTGAGTTGTGTTCATAATGGGCAAGTTTTGTATTTCGGGTATAAATATAAACCCCAGATCATTGTAATAAGGGACGACAATACAATCAATACAACATTCAATGGATCGCCACCTTTTTTCTCTTTTACTTTTTGACGAGTTCTTGCTTCAAGTCGGGGCGTCAGCTGCGATCTCTCGACAAGAGGTAACTTGTATCGATGACAAGAGATATTGTTTTAGATGTATTAGTCTCTTTATTGTGTTCATCGTTATCATATATTTTAGTTAGTATCTCGATTTAGTCATATCGGCCAGTTCATCTTACTAGATTAGATTACCAAAGGTATCTACCATCCCGAAAAGTGGTTAATTCCTTGATTGTTTAGACTTTTGGTTTCTCTACATACTCTGAGTTGCATCAACCTTAGTCTTGTCTAGAGCTATAAAAACAAACCTGGAATTAATCATAATGAAGGATAGCATTGGAGTTTCAGCGGATCTTACCCAATATACATAATAGTGCATGCTTCATAATATAACTAATGTATATTTGCCACTTATATAGATTGATTACTTTATATAAATACATCAAGTTAGATTGATCTCGATTAAACTCTATATTTGGTGATCGATTGCTATTTGATATACTTATATAGATTGACTTGTTTATATAATCTTGTATTGGAGTAATAGCCAATACGTTATCTATCTTTGCTCTAAATACTGATCTATCAGCTATTTCTATAATATTGTCTTAAAGTAACTAATAAAAACAAAATAGACAATATTACAGCCAATAGGACATATTTTAGGGTTTTGTTTTACTTGTTCATCATAAAGCCGCGGCCGATTTGGTCTAATCATCGGCTCTATTGGCCGATCAGCTATAGTTCATCTAATTACAGTTTATGCTTTTCCTTGCTGGTGTAGGATCAAACCAGCTACCAAGCTCTTGACACTCGAGGCAACCTTGGACTTACACTGGAGTGAAGCAAATCTCCCAGGCCGCCATGTTTTCCGTCAACACCAGCTCAACTCTAATTATGACACACCTGGGCACGGGAGGGGAGCAAAGAATGCGGCATGATTTGCACCTGATGAACTCGCCCCTAGCCATGGTTCAATTGAAACATTTGTCACCGGTGAATTGACAATTGTGCATCGATTCGGCGAAGCAGGTGTGACATTCCAAGGAACCGATAATGCAGCACGATGACATGCAGAGCTATGTAGAGGTTGGGCTAGGATGCTGTCGCTCGGCGGCGGTTGCTGGGGCTCCCCTCCCGCATGGTGACACCGGTTTCAGCGCACTTCGAGAGGCATTCCAGTGCAATAATGATGTGTTAGCAAATTGGATGGTCGAGGCAAGTTGCGCGCGCTAGATGGCTGGTATGGGCCCCAATTTTTTGGCTCCGGATCGGGCACCCGATCCATAGCCGCTTCAACACTTTTTGGCATAATATGTAAACTAAAATTTGTGTGCCATACCTAATTTGTGCAATAGAAATCAAGTCAATGATACAACAATCACATTGGGTCCTAATTAAGCAACCACTATGTTTGGAGTGGAAATTCCTGACAACTATATTACCCTTTCGATCGAAGTGACTAAGCAATCACCGAATCAACCACAGCCTCTTTAGCAGCATTTGCTGCTCCAGCAGCATGTAGAATCTCAAGTCTGTAGTCAGTTTCTGGCCGACGACACATCTTCCTCAGTGGAACAATTTCCTGCCATTTTAAACAAAGCATAAATACTAATAAATGGAGATACATGTAGTAACAAATCATAATGTTTCAGTTATACAACTAGCAGCTGGATAATATAGCAGAAAAGTATTGTTTTACACTCCCAATAAAGTAGTGTTTTAGCACATGTTACTAGAGAAGAAATGAAATTGCTTATGGAACAGGAACATAAACAATGACACTAACCTATATAGCGATAATGTATACGACTGAACTAAAAGAGAGTAGCGGTGGTCGTGGTTCTACCGGCACCACTACCACCATCATAGGCCATGATATTAGGATTTGGGTAAGTCAATCTACTAGTCCGTCTTCCGTGGACTGCAGCTCCTTAATTTTCTAAACATGGCATTTTGTTTGTTTTTAATATAAAAAGTCTTGTTTGAACCAACTAAATACACATATTTTTAACAAAAACTTGATTTTGCTATGTTCTCAGGAATTTGCTGCAGCGCATGACCAATTAGCTATTATGGGTTAAACATACACAAACTAATATATGAACATATATAGTAAAATGGGAACTTTTAGAGTCCAACCTACTGTTAGTTTGTATTGACAATATAGGTGATCCAAGGGTTTATATGTACTCTTTCTATACTACTTGATTGAGGCAATTGTGTGAATTGGATAAAATTTATTTTCTTTCTATACTATTGGATTGGGGCAATTGTGTAAATTCATGGCCTACAAGGAAATGGTAGGTGTTTTTCCTACTAGATCCAATTTCCTATTCATTGTCATCCTTCACAATGACAATGGCGAGGCGCTGCCAGTGCTAGCTACCGTGAATCCACATGTCCCTCCACCAATTACCACAACTGGATGACTCAATACTAAAGCATAAGATTACTAAAATATCATATTTTTTTACTTTTGTGGCAAACTCCTAAACTTCCCTTCTTTATACTACCAATAAATCGTACTGTAGACATTCTCATCGGTATAAATTCCATAACAACTTTACAAACATAGAAAAAAATATTCATATACGTTGTTATGGAATGATGAATTGCTACATGCATATATATAAGCTCCTTGAACTTGTTGGTTGAACAAACATGAAATTGCTTATGCGAGTTCAAACTACAACCATGCTTCAAGAACTACAGCGCTTATTTATATGGAAGTACATAATTTAATTAAAACATGATGCTTAGTGCATGCATTACTACAATGGTCACATCAAATTTAATGGGCGGAGTGAATGACATACCTCAGAGTCATCATGATCATAGCAAACAAGAAATCTGCAACGACAACCTCTTGCATCATGCCTACGCTTTTGAGCATCAAGGACATGAGCATCAAAATACAGAGCCTGATGTTTGCCTTCCTGGTAAATTTAGGGTAGATGTAATTATTGGTGTGAGCCAACAATTTGTGTAAGTAATAGTACTTTAAAAGAAAAATTGAGAGAAAACAAAGATCAAACCAATGATATGATTCACCTACTAAGAATATTTAACGCCCATCTGTATTTTTGGAACAACATTTTATTTCACATTTATCAAAGTTATGAAAAAATTATTCCTATATCTCTCCACTTAGGGATATGAATTTAAAGATGAGACTTTACATGTAAATGTAATACTACTGAAAGTACATGTATATTTTTTGGTGAATTTTTTAGTTAGTGTGCACAGTGTGTACACGAGAAGCCTTGTGGGCATAGGATATGTTCCCCTAGCTTATGCCCCTTCTGTTTTTACAGAAATATATTATACGAATAGACATCCTTTATTTTGGCAAAAGAATTAATGTAAAAATAAAATATCGTCTTAGAGTAGAGCAAACAGAAAACACCCTTCCATCATTTTCTAACTTCAAGTCAAAATTCTGAATGGATACAACTAGACTTCAATTCTGATAAAAGTAAAACATGGCCAGACCTGGAAGCAAAGAATTTGGTCCCCAGGAAGAACAGCGGCACATTCGGTTGACACACATGGATGAGAACGTTGCCGCACACATGTACGGACATCAATCCATTCGTCGTCCCTAGCTCCAAATCCAGAAAATCGAACCCATACTTCCTAAAATACAAATAATTGTTCTATTAGAAATTATTTTACTATACATGCCTTTAACAAAGCTAAGTAACACAGATATATGATACTACTACTACAAAACATGTAATCACTGCCGCCCCATCAATGCCGGTTAGTTAAAACCCGGCACTGATAGGGGTTTTCCCACCATCTCAACCTTTGTGCACCATAAAAAAACACCTGACACTAATAAGGTCATCAGTATTGGTCATTAAAATAAAATTACACTGATGTATCCAATACGTATTAGTCCTGGTTTTTTATACCTGTACTGATACGAGGACATCAGTGCTAGTCCACCTTTTGCACCACCAGCGTCCTCCCCTGTCCCCCCCCCCTCCACCCCATCGCCCGCGCCTCCCCTTTTCTTAGTCACTAGCTCTCCACTATTCTACGCCACCATCGCAGTCACCTGTTTCTTCCCGATGGCTAGGCCACCAGATCCAGCCGCCTTAAGGACAGGGGCGACAACCACATGGTCCAATGAGTGGTGTCGGCCTCCCCCTCTCCTTAATGGTCGGATGGCATGTGCAGTTTGAGGGTGACAACGGCTGCGAGGGAGATCAACGATGGCGTTGGCAGTGACTCCATTTAGTTGTGTTGTTGTTCTGTTGTACTTCTAATATGGCAGTTGGATTTGGTCTGTGATGTGGTTTTGCAGTTATTGATGATGTTGATGAATAATTGAATCAATCAATGTCAATAGCCTGCTGTTGATTTGTGATGTGGTTGTTCTCATCTTTGACCTCTGGATGTGGAATTCACGTTCTTAATCTGCAAATATGGATGGGGATTTGGTGGCAAATGTGCATTGGATTTGGTTGCATTAATGTTTATATTACCAGCCTATTCTTTTTATTTTTGGCTCAGGAGTGCCAGTTGGGAAACCGGCTCATCAACCAGCTAATGAGCCCTCCTCACCAGTGCCCCAATCATCCCAATGGTAGTGCCGGTACTGGTGATATTCTATAGTACACACATACACGATTTTACAGAAATTCTGCTAGTACTAGACCAACACGCAACTATATGGAAAAAAATAAAAAATCTTTAATTATCTACAAATTTCCTTTTGTATATTGGCATATGTTGAGAAGAAAAAACAAATTTATTCAACTCTAGTGTATTTTTTTTTTATGTAAGGCCTGGTCTAGCAGATACACAATGTTCACAAAGTTATATTAACACCCTGGTACATTTATAGGGAAAAAAAGTAAGCTCGCAAATCGTACTTTGACAAACGATAAAATGGAATCATCTAGGTTGAAAGCAGAAAATTGCTTTCATTAAGAAAGCAAAAGACGAGTTTTGCAACATTAACCATATATAACGAAAAATTTATGTTTCTTACCAGTTCACCAGACTGGGACAATCTATGGGAAAGGAAGGCAGCAACATCATACCTGCAATATGTAAAATCTTTGTTAGGCACGTGAAAGTGCAAGGCTTTCAAAATAGGGACATACTAACCTCAGTTGTTTTATATATATCATATGACTTTTCGTATAAGGTTTGACTATTCGTCTTTTTCAAAAATTTAGTGTAAATGTGTAAAAAAAATGTTAGAGTGTGTTTGATGATAAAACAAGTCAAGCAAATTAAATTTTATTTATATAAATTATTTTGATAAGACGAAAAGTCAAATATTACATCTAAAGTCAATGATGTCATATATTAAAAAACAGAGGGAGTAAAACGTATATAACACCTTCAATAACATAGTGCATAAAAGCTCTTCCGTGGTTAAAGAAAAAAGGATTTAAGAAATAAGAGATGCATGCGCTAAATGGTTGGGAAAATTAACTGTGGCACCATTGTGCTCGGGCATCAAGATTGAAATTGAGTATATAACCAATTTAAATGAGTTTGAATTTTTTTAAATGTTTACGTATTAACATTAACTACTTTACTAATTAGTTCAAAACAAGTTTGAACTGAATTTAAACATGTTTTCGTTACTTTTTGATTCTAGGTATAATAATAATAATAATAATAATAATAATAATAATAATAATAATAATAATAATAATAATAATAATTTTTGACGACAACAAACATACATTTCTCATTGCGACTAGCATAGAACTAAGCTTAGTGAGTCGGAGATCATACCAGTGACCACATTAGCATAGAAATGATCTTCGCATACGGCCAAAAACATTTTTGTAGGCAGGTGGGTGCCAGGTGTCTACATGTCACAACCACATGTGAAAAACCATTTTCGCAGACAGACGTCCAAGGAGACCAATTGCAAAGGCTCGATTTTTTGTGTGCGAGGACGGATCCGCTAGAGCCATGCGGCGTTAGATCCGCCGCTCCAAGCCTGCACACCTCTGCCCTGGTCGTGGTCTTCGCTCCCAGTGCTATGGTCACCATGCGGCCCTCCCGTCATCTCCGCTTGCACGAGGGCGCATCCACTGCTCCCAAACCCACTGGATGCAAATCTGGTGCTCCTGAGGCTTCCCATGCCACGGTCGCTTTCGCTACCCGAGGCTGTCACCGTCACCACACCACCGCATAGAGAGAGTGTGGGAGAGAGAGGAGGATGGGGAAATGAGGGAAGCGTGGGAGAGATGAGTGGCAAGTGGAGGATATGAGAGAGAGGAGTGCGACTGAAAAGTAGATGTGGGAAGTGCAGGCGCATGGTTTGGAAAAAAAACGAACGAATGAGGCCGGCCGTTGCACACCACCTGAGAAGAAGGAATTCCGCAAGCACCCTCTTAACACGCGTATGAAAAATTCATTTTCGTAGGTGGGCCTTAACCGAACCGCATTCAAATATTTGTGCACGTGAATATAATTATGGCTCGCTTGGAGCTTGGAGGGGATCTTGTGAAAAAAAAATCAATTCCTTAGTAGTGCTATAAGTGCTAAACTTATAGAGTGATTAGATTGGCTTGGCCCAATCAAAACCTTATGTCCGGTTTATTGCAGTCATACCGCCATTCTGGCTCGGTTTTGATAATTATGTTTTTTCTAGAGAAGAGTATTTTTACCCGACCTGTACATCCAACTGGATATATGCAGCCTCTTAAATTAGGAACTTAAGAGCATCACCAAGAGTATCCTAATATTTCATTCCCAAACCTATGGTTTTTGGATATCCTAAACTGAATATAGGAAGTGAGAAAACTATTCTTTCGAAGAGATAGCCTAAAATTGATTTCCTATAATTAAAAGTGGGCCATCCTTTAACCAACAGCAACAAAAAAAAATCAGTTTTTTCTCTCCTCCCGTACGCGCGCCAGAAGCCGATCTCCTATCTCTCTTGATCGCTGATCTCCCCATCTCGATCTGTCAGAGCCGCCTGTTGGTTGTTGATCTCCCCTGATTCCCCTCTCCGCCAGCTTCTCCTTCCCCTACCATGTCGCTAACGCCTGCGAGGAAGACCAAGAGCGAGAAAAGGAGCGCGGGAATATTTTTCCCCTGCGCGCGCGAGATAGCGAAGACGGCGATTGGGAAGAAAAAATCGCTCCCTGAATGTGGGTAACAAGATATCCAAACTTGGGAACCTAGATTATTGGGAGATAGGTTAGAAAATCTGTTGGATGTAATTTTTGACTAAAATTTTCTAAATTTAAGGATAGGGAATAGAATAAGGAAGCTCTTGGTGATGCTCTTAGCCTACTAGATAGGGAACTTAGCTCTCAAATAAACCAATCTGAAATTCGCTCTTATGGAGATTTGAACTCAGAACGTTGGGGTGCTACTCATGTCACTGCAACCACTATGCTATGTGCCCTTTCACAGGTTTGATAATTATGTGTACGGTACTATCAGCAAAATTACACGAACCAATGTAAAATACCAATCATTTTTTTGAACAAGGGGATATATGTACGTACCATGCACCATCTCTAACGGACTTTGCCTCAAACTCGAGCTGGCCACCCTCCAAAGAATTCTTTACTGATTTTTGAACTTCAAAATAAACAATCACAGGATAAAGAAGAATGCTGAAGATTGGAGGAGGCAACGGAGAGGGGAAAACCGATACAGGGAAATAATTCATAGGAAATTTCTAACCTTGCATCTCCAGGGATTTTATTTTTAGGAAAGATCTCCAGGCAAATAGAAACTAGCGCTTTAAAATCATAAGAACAAACTCCGGAAGGAGACACAAAAACTAAGAAAAAACAAATCACGGGAAAGATGTTGAATCTTATTTAAATAAGTAGTTATATTAAGATGCATTACTGACTTCTGATATTCGAGATTGAAAAAAAAGGTGTGGCAGATCAAGCTTTAGCGTAACAACACAGCTTGCAAAGCCCAACACAGATGCAGAAGAAACCTTGCACGGACGAGCAAAACACGTACTAGTATATAATATCATGGTAACACCCACAACCAGAAGTCCAGAACCAACCCCTTTCTATGCTAAGGGTCGTACGCGCCATGAATCATTGCACAAATTAATCTTACATACGGCAAAGGCATTTTTCATCGCTCTAAACCCCTAAACAGTGCTAAGTATGCGAAGGGCAACCTCAATATTTAAGGTCACTAGAGAAATAAGATAGAACCTACAGCCTTATGTTATTGTCTTTTCTTGATCTTAAACTGGGACTCACTCATGAAAAAAACTCTATTTAACATGGATGAAAGAGCACCATGCATGTTGTTAAAGACATGAACTAATTTTTCTATTTCTTATGCTCTTGCCTTAAGCTTAAAGTCAGCCATAGCAATATTTCTTGCTTTCTCTTCTCCTAATACATAAAGGTAGAACAAAAATAATATTTTATTTCTGAAGGTTACTTTGCATGTAACATCGTGAATGCCCGAATGAATATTTACAATACTAATTAACTATAGTAGCACAATGTACACAGCGCAAGTAACACCCAAGTTATTAGCAATTGAAAAGTCACCTGAGGAGCGAGCGAAGGCCGACTTGTGGTCGCCAGACGCCGCCGGTAGCATCTTGGTCGAGTTCCTAGAGCGCTGCGAGTACTTCCGGTTCTGGAACCAGTACCACACCTCCCGCGCAACACCAACCCCGGCCCGGATCAACGTGTCAGAATTAAGGACATAAGCGATCGAATTCCCCACCGGAAAGGAGACACACGGGCTATTACCTGCTTGGACCGGACGCCGACCTTGCCGGCGCGCGCGGCGGAGGCGGTGAACCTGTCGGCGAGGGACTGGATCAAGGAGCCGTCCGGGATGCCGTTGTTGAGATGCCGCAGGAGCGACTCCATCTCGGCCACCTCCTCCTGCGTGAACCGGAAACCCGGGCCCCCCGTGCTTGGCATTGGTGGCCGCCCCATCCCCGCTACTCCTCCTCGATCCTACAACGCAACGACGCCGCGCGTCTGCAGCAAGGGAGATCGAGAAGATTATTGGATCGGCGGCGTCGGGGACGATGACGACCGAGGAAAACATTGCGAGCTACTATTAAATATAATCATAAGTGATAGTAAAGCATTAATCATCCCAATAGCGTGCTAATGTTTCTAAGCATATCTAAGCCATTATACTAATATCTAATTGAACCATTATATAAGTCCAACTAGTCAAATTATAACCCAAGGTATCAAGGAATAAGGTAAGCAATGCAAATTGGCCATAACAAAGGAATAAGTTCACACCACCCGGTGACATTCGAAAATAAATGTACAGTTGAAATAAATAGAGAATTTAAATATAGGATCAACATGCTCAAAGGAATTGTGTTTGGGATCTGTGTGACTTGCCTTGCAATAATCGGTCTTCACTTAATCTTCTGAATCACTTCCAACGCACTCACGAACCTTCGCAACGACGGAAACGACAAGCTAACACGCAAAACGAAGAAAAAGACTAATAAAAACCAAATAAACAGTACATAAAAAGCAAACAAACATGTAGATCATGATTTTAGATAAATTTAGAAACTTGAACCACTTAATTCCGACTTCATATGAATTAGTTATGAATTTTACAAGATTTAATTCAAATAAACCTATTAAAGAAAAGACTATTCCAAATTAATTAAACAATTTACAAATAATTTATAACTGAGATAAGACTAAAGCATCCTCCGGAAATTATTGGAACGAATTTAGTAGACGACATATAGTAAAAAGAACTAATATGCCATTGAAAAGGGATAACCGGATTTATATTAATTTTGGATGGCTGAGATTAATCTTGACCAAGTCGACCAAGATCGGATGGCTTGGACTGATCTGGCAAGCGAGCCTCACGTGATACCGACTCAACGAGTTAATTCTACGTGACACGGGATCACCCAAATGATCAACTGAAACCGGCGAACCGAACCAGCGGCTCCGAACGGCTCTAAACTAAAGGACTACTCAGGACGGACGAACGAACGAACAAAGCACGGGGACACCTCATTCGAACGAACAAGCGAACGACTCAACAACGGCTGCGACTAAACCAGTGAGCTAGACACGATTCACGGCAAAGCCCCGATACGGCAAACGATAGGTCTGTAGGAATTTAGAGATGCACCTACGGCTAGACAACTCGACTACCGAGCACCGGGCTAAAGCGGCGGCTAGGCTTAAGCGGCATATTGTTGCGACACGGCACAGCAGCGACAAAAGACGGTGGCTGCGGTAGCGGGACGGCAGTAATTTGGCACGCACGAGCAGCAGCACAGCTGTAGCAGGGAGCGGCACAATGGCGGCTAGACGGCTAGCGCAGCGGCGACGCTAATACAACAACTAAGCGCGGCACGGCAGCGACTACTCGACGACACAAACGAAAGATTAAAACCTAAACCGAAGGTACACGGATAGAAGTCTCACCAAACCAAAGCGATCGGAGAGGGAGAGACGGCGACAACGACCTGGCGGCAACACACGGAGATGACGACGACGCTAGACAGACAATGGATTATGTTAGATTGGATTAAGACCCTAAGGAAAAACCTACACCGGTGAATGGCAGCACGACAGCGGAAACCGATAGCACGGGGAGGAAGAGGAGGACGCAACGATCCTTACCAACACTTACGCAGCGATGAGCGGCAAAGGAGATGGCCGGCGACGAGATCGGGACGACGGCGAGGTACTGGTCAACGGCAGCGACAGCTTTCCGGCGACGAGCGGTGGCAACGGAGGGGTGGACGGGGTAGAGCTCGTCTCTGTGAATCCAATGGAGGCGGCGGCGACCCAAGGCGACGATGGACGACGACGAACGGCGCGGCTGGAGACCAAACCGTGGCAACAACCCACTGGTTCACGGTGACGGCAACCTTCCGGCGGGATTTGGCGGAGGGAAACCGGTGGCCGGGGTGGAGATCAACCTTGCGGAGCGGAGGGAGGTGGCGGCACTGACCGGAGATGGCGGAGGCGACGGCTACTACCGGCTGGAGCGGCGGCCGGAGTTGGAGAGAGAAGGCGACTGCGGGGAGACGGCTAGGGTTAGGGAAAAGCTCGGGAAGAAGAGGGAAACGGAAGAGGAGGTCCAGGGGCTGCTATTTATAGGCAAAGGTTGAGGAAATCGGCTCGGACCAGAGAGGATTTGGCGGTGGATTGGTTAAGGTTCGCCGTAAAATAATAACTCAAAACCGCGTTGATTCCACACGATTTGATTCGGCATTCAAGGGGTTTCTTGGAGGAGATCGAGGGGAATCCGTTCCCGCAACTAATTTGTGAGGAGGAGCAACGAGGAGACCGAATTTGGTGAGAGGGGCGGCGGTATCGGGAAGAACAGGACCTCTGTCCGGCCGGTTGGAGGTTGAGGGCAACACTGTAGAGAGAGGGATACAAAGCAGACTTCGGCTGGGCTTCCTTTTGCTTGGCCCGATTGAAGGAGGGACACAAACTGGACTTCGGGAAAGAGAGGGAGAGGGCTGCAGGCCGAGAGGAGATTGGCCCGAGAGATAAAGGTGAACTTTTCCAGTTTCGGCCCGAAAAGGAAAAGTTGATTTTAATTACTTTTTCAATTAAATTAATCACTGAAATGATCTTTGAATTGTTAAAAATATTACCAATGCTCAAATAATTTCAAGAAAAATCCTGAAACTAATTGGACACTCAAATTACTTAAAAAGATTATAATCAGACCATTTAATGATTAATTTATTATTTAAATAATTGCTGAAATGCTCTTTGTATTACTAAAATTAGGAATTGAGCTCCAAAAAATCCGAGAAAATTTCAGAGAGTATAATTAACCATGGAGAATTTAATAAAAAATAAATCCAACCATGCTTTATATTTAGGAAATTTTATTTTCCACATTTAACTTTACTTGTAAATTAATGAACATTTAATAGAAATTCTAAATGTAATTTATTAATTAATTTATAAATCCTAAAACGAAAATCAGGATGCGACAACCGGCGGGGAGACACAACGATCCGATTGCCGTCCAGGCAGGCAGCAGCTAGATTAGGGAGGATTGGTCGCACGATCGTCCAGTGGAGGCTGCCCTATTTGTACTGGCCAAGAATTGTAGTATTAATTTGTGTTTGGGACTGCCTATCCCACCCCCACCTCTTGTTCTTCTTGACCGTTGAATTTGCTTTGAGATTTGTGCAGCCCCTCAACCCTAAGTCCGCGCTTCTCCTTGATACCCCCCCACCTACGCCGCCACTTAATCCTCCCAAGCGGCTTGCCTCCTCCACCGCCACCTCAATGCCCCTACGACCTCGCAAGGCGCCAACAAGCCGGTGGTGGTGACATGCCCTTGACCCACTATCTTTTCCGTCTGCGGCGACAGGGATATACCCTCGACACCAAACTAATAGTTATGTTTTGTCTCTGCTGCCAACATCAGCCCATCATTTACTATCAACCTTTTGTAACACAGCCCCTGCGACCCACCTACCACAATAGGCCACGGTTTCCAACAGTCATTCTTCTAAACTCAGAAAACTTTGCTCTCCGATCCCCTCATCTCCTTCTATTCCTAGACTATAACTTGTCGGGCCATCACTAGGGAGGACATCACGAACTGTGACACGGTTCATCGGGGTAGGATTTTATCTAAATCCATCCCAATTTTCTGCAATTATGTTTGTGTTTTGTGTTTTGTGTTTTGTGTTTACACACACTAGATTGGATGGACACCTCTTGTTCTTTGTCACGCTGATCTAAGTAAGGGGCCATCATGCCAGTTGGTGGGGCGAGTTCATCCTGTCAGATGCGTTGTGTACCATATGAGGATAGGAAAAATTGGTTCGATGCCCACGAAAGCTTCCCAATTTTGCTTTAAGCCTTATGTTCTTTGTACTCTCAAAGTTTACCCTGTCACTTGTTTTACCATTTATGTCCCTTTCTATTTTGTTTTTTTTTTCATTTAAATATTTGGCTGGAAGGGCAAAGAGCTAGGCTATGACAATATTAACCATTCTTTACAAGTCAATTCAACAGGAAATTATAAAATGAATAATGTGTAAATTTTGGATGGTATTAAAATTTACTAGGAATTTTCGATGGTATAAAAATAAAACTCGGGAACTTTTGATGGCATAAAGCAAATTTTGTTAGGAATGTAATACGTATTAGATTCATTTTTGCTATACAATGTGTCTACAGATTAACTACACCATGATACAGCATTGCCGACAGATGTTTGTGGGCAAAAATGCATAATGATCAACTAACCATCTATCGGTCGGTAGTTCTATAGATTTTTCATGTCAAATTATGTTTCGGCAGTTGTTAATCTTAGGTCGAACTGTCTGTCACCAAAAATGTACCGACTCATTATCTGTCGTCAAAGCTTCATCCATTCGATCCAAATCGAACAACCCAGATTCATTTACCAAGTATACTATATAAGGTCCCACATCATTCTCTCTATCCACAACTCCAACCTCCGATCATTGCAGCCTGTTGCTTGCCGGAGGCTGTAGTTGCAGCCTCCTTCCAGTAGAATTGGTCCCCTCCTATGTCACCGGCACTTTACCCCATCACCTAGTGAGGAGCCAAGGAGCATGGGCCACCTTCGCCGCTGCACCTTGCCCCGGCACCAAGCAAGGAGCATCAATTGCCAGCTCCGCCCCTCCCCCTACTAGTGCCGGATGAGTAGCCTTGGCCTCCACGACCCCCGGCCTCCCCATTACTAGATCTAGCGGCCTATTGATCTAGCGGCTGCAAATCCCAATCAGATCCAGTGCTCAATTAATTCTCTTCACGGTAGATTCCATGGATGCCTTTACCTCGTTAGCTCACTGCGGCAGAGATAGCTAGAGCTTGGAGACCTCTCCGTTGCTAGTCACTGTGCAATTTTTTTTTGGTTGTGCTCATGATTGCAGAGTGTACAGAATATGATGCCAGTGCATTTTTTAGGAGAATTTAGATTATTTACCACCTAATTCGTGTGTTTTAACTTTTTTACCACCCAATTCGCGTGCCTTCTATAATATGTCATTAGGACTGCTAATTGCTCTATTTGGTACCACTTTCTCAGTTTTTCATTTATTTCTCATTTCTTAATCCCATTTGTATTTTTTCTCAAACTTTGTGGACTGTTTTGCCCCTGGGCCCACTATCAGATGAAAGGAAGAGAAATCCTCTTCTCTGTCGATCGATCTCTCGCCTAGCGCTAGCCCGAGCGCGCCGAGCTCCTCCGCCGCCGAGCACCCCTGCCGCCGGGTGCCACCATCCCGCCACCGAGCGCCGCCACCACGCCGCCGAGCGCCGCCACCCCGTCGCCGACCACCGCACCCTGACACCGCCGCCCAGGCCGAGCGCCGCCGTGCACCCCACGGCCGAGCGCCTCCCCCGTGCTGCCTAGGGTTTGAAGGGAGAGAAGGAGAGGTGGCTATGGCGGCTCCCGAGGAATATGAATTCAGCTACAGAATCCTATATCATCATGTAACATCTTAACAATCTCAGAATGATGGCGCAATGGCAAAGCTTCATCTTGGTCGCCCATCTTCAGCATCTTAAGATGCACTCTAAGTTCTGCATTTATGGGAAAAGACAAACATGAATAACATGAACAATGTAGTTATAAAATTGGAGTATAGAAAAGTAGAATATATTGCTTGACATTCAGCTTCCGTGAAATGAATCATGTCCATAAAAATCAAATTCTGGAATATGCAGGTCCTGGAGCTGGGGCGTCGACCTGGGCAGCGGCGGCGCTCGGTGGCGTGGCGTTGAACCAGGGCAATGGCGGCGAGGTGGTGCCGCTCGGTGCTGGAGCTAGGGGCGCGGGGCGTCGAGGGCCAGCGGCGGCGCTTGGTGGCGGTGCGGCGTCGAGCAGTGCGGCGGCGCTTGGTGGCGGTGCGGCGTCAGCGGCGGCGCTCGGCGGCGTCGAGCTGGGCCGGTGGCCAAGCTTGGTGCGGCGCACGGCCGGAGTGGATGCCGCGCTCGGCGCTCATGAGGAGGCAGAGAGATCGATCGACATAGAAGAGGATTTCTCTTCCTTTCATCTGACAGTGGGCCCAGGGGCAAAACAGTCCACAAAGTTTGAGAAGAAATACAAATGGGATTAAGAAATGAGAAATAAATGAAAAACTGAGAAAGTGGTACCAAATAGAGCAATTAGCAGTCCTAATGACATATTATAGAGGGCACGCGAATTGGGTGGTAAAAAAGTTGAGGCATACGAATTAGGTGGTAAATAATCTAAATTCTCATTTTGTAGTAACCTTCCTGACTTATTTGCCTTTTGTAATGAAAATTGCTTGAACCTTGTGGCCTGTTGAAGGCATGTGACCTGATTTTTTTGCATAACAAATGTTGTTAGTATGTGAGCTTCTGGACAACCACTATTTATATATGTATAAGTTGCTCTGACCTTTTGGTCTATTGACAATATATGTATTCTCTTCATGTGTTGAATGAACGTATGAAAGTACATCAGGAATCCAGACCATACGTATGTCCTTTACTAATGTCTGAAATGCACCTTTTTGTTTAATGCCTATTAAAAATACTACATCTCCTGTTTATAATAATAATTCAATGATATTTGATCTTGGGGTCAGTCTGTGGGGAAATGAACTTCTTTCAGCATATTGTCTGTTGTCATTTGTTGTCTCTTGGTAGAGTTTTCTCTGTCGCTAAAGCTTGGTCTGTCGGAAGAAATATCACACTGTGGTCATGTATTGTCTGTTGGAAAAGTCATTTACCAACATGGTTTTCCACAACACCCACTTTCTGTCAGGAGAGGATATTCTCAGCAGAAAATATGACACTTGTCAGTACATTTTAACCATGATGTAGTGATTTCTGTGTCAACCTCACTCAAATTTTCGTCAATTGGATTAGGGTCAGAGGCTGTCGATGCTTTGTCTATAGCGTGGTAGATCAGTTAAAAATTTAGAGTGGATATTGCGCCTGTTGGTTCATGGCGTAATGTGTCTCTATCGGCGTGTTTGGTTGGTTGCATCGTACCTGGCTAGCATGCGCGGGTGCAGTCGCCCAGTGTTTGGTTGCTTGCATGGCTGCCAGGGCCTGGCCACGCTCGTGCAAATCAGCCTCCCGAGCCAGGCTCACTGGAAACGCTCGAATCGAGCTTCTCTCCTCACCCAGGCTGAGCGCATGCAGGGGCGGGGATGCGCGGGTGCAGGCGTGGGATGGGCAAATGCAGAAAGGCGAGAGGGGGTCGCACATCCCATCACCTCCCTCTCCCCATTTGCTCACCGAGCATCTGCTGAATCGTCGCCATCTCCATCGCCGCATGGCCGTTGTCGTCGCATCTTTGTCGCTGCACGACCGCTGTTGTCGCCTCCGCTACCAGATCTGGCGAGAGAAGCTCCACCGCGCTGTTGCTTCCACTCCTCCACCGGCCACGATGGATTTGCCAAG